AACTTACAAGCATCTGAATTTGAAAGGTGTAGCAAAGAAGCCCTTCACCCCTTGTTTCTCTTTATTTAAACCAGATTCTTACTACAAACATCTGAGTTTCGAAGTTCTACATCTATGATGTAAGACTACAGTTCCCAAACTGCATGCTTGTTCAATGGTGTAAAAAACTTACAAGCATTTGAGTTTGAGAGGTGTAGCAAAGAAGCTGTTTTTACCTGTTGTTTCTTTCCACTTAACCAGAATTCTTTAAGCATCTTTTCAGGCATATGTTCTCAGTAAAGAAGTAAATACACACTTTTTAAAGTTATTTCCCATTATTTGTGTTTAGCTTAATTGCCCATTCAGTGTATTTAGCTTAATTGCCCATTCAGTGTATTTAGCTTAATCACCCATTCTGTGTATTTTGCTCAAGTTAGGAAGTAAGATTGAACATGTCATATAGTGTAAAATTTAAATTTCTACAAATCCAAAATCTTACCATGGCGATGACGGGTAACGCCATAAGAATATATGCCTTCAGCTATTTCAGTGTACAAATTTGCTTCCTTGGCACCACGTCCTGCAAAAGTAACCAGGTCGCAGGCATAATTGATGGGAGCACTAGGAGCACATATATGGTAAAGTTTCGCAAGGAAATGTTAGAAACTGCAATCAAGTCCTAACCTGCTCCGCTAACACCAGACTTTGAGTCAATAATAATATTTTTAGGTTGAACGAGATTAGCCTGCAAGGAAAATGCAAGAAGAGAACCATAAGGCATGTGCCAGGACCATTGGGAATAAAGAACAGCATAACTGGCATGAGGCTAGTGACTAGACAACTGCCATTTATACGATTATAATGGCTACCTAAAACATAATTCATGAGAAAGCAATGCTTATATCCAAACTTTAAAACATAATTCATGCCACCTGCATACCTTTAGTTTCATATTTTCAAGGGTCAAATATTTTTATTTCTTTTTTCTGCTCTGAAGAAATCTTTAACTTGTGATATCTTATGTACTGCCAATAGAATCATAGATAAAACCAAGTTTTGAAGCTTCGCCTTTATACAAGTTTATCACTTTAAGATTGTTTTCTGTAAAATTCCAAGGAATTTTAATGTTTTGTTTCCCTCCTTGTGCATGGTGGTTCAGTATGCATAATAAGTGTGCAGGAGTTTTAAGACATAGTATTTCATTTTTCCACTTTTGTTGCTCTCTAAAGAGTATCCAGGAGTGACACCCTCCTGTATGTATATGGGTTTGTATCTCAGCTACATTATTACATCTCAAACAGTGAGTGAACTGATCTCAAGCCCATATTTCATAAAAGCATGCAATTTGCAGAGAACTCATATACAAGGCACAAACCTTAATCAGTGGAACAAGGGGAAGTTGAACAGAAGTTGGATAGCAACCAGGGTTAGCAACTAGGCGTGCACTTTTTACCTCCTCCCTTGAAATCTCTGTCAAACCATATACAGCTTCTTTCTGGATCCAGGAAGATAAATGCTTGTTAAAATAAGCAGAGCAATAATTTAAAGAAATAAGAGCAAGATGGTGCCTGAGTTTTATTTGTCATATACATTTGCTGCAAAACAAAGGTGAACTTTATGACAACAAATTAAACAGGCCAGAGTTTTTGTTGAAAGTTGAAGTTAACATTCAATCTATCCCTACAGTAATGCTTGGTGGACTTTATAATTCCGTAGAAGCCTAGATATGCAGAAGAAATTACCTTACCTGCAATTCTGGTGCTCTATGTGCCTGACCATACCATTCTTCATACTCAGAGATATCTCGTAGACGGAAGTCCTGAAAAAACCATCGCATAAAATTAAAAATGAGACAAATTTATAGTTGATGAGGGCAAATAAAAAAATTCCCAAAAGCATTGCATGGTAGTGCTATTCAAAGCATACAGCAGAAAGATCAACAATCTTTAAACTCTTGGGAAGGCCTTTGATAATTTCCTGCAATTGAAATAACAAACATATACATGTTAGAAATTCAGGAGGAGATTCAGTAAATCAGAAAGGATTTACTGATACAAAGGAAAGAAAAAATAACCTGTGTAGTTCCGTGTGGTAAACAACAAAATACAGCATCAACATCAGAAAAATCAGCATCCTTGACAGCAACCATTTTTGGCAGATTCTGCAAACACAGAAAGCCAAGCAATGTAATTCCAAAGTATTGAAAAGTATGCCATGATCAAACACCGCCATCAAATGATTGAAACCCCATCATCAAATTGACCATGACAACAACTAACAGAGCACAACCATACCATAGGAATGCACCAATATTTAAGCTTATATAAAGAGAAAGAGAAAAAGAAGAAGAAAGATATCATATCATATTTAAATTCAAGTCTTTGGCCCTTAGAGGAAACACATAAATCATAGAAATTCTTACTTGGGAAACCAGATGAGGAAACACCGATCCAATCGACTGTCCAGCTTTTCTATCAGCAGTCATCAAGGTAATGCCAAAGTGAGGATGGTTTGCCAGCAGCCGAACAATCTTCCAGAAAGAAGGATCATCTCAGCTCATTGTAAGCCATAAAACCATGGAACTACTTAAATATTGAGTACATAATTATCTAACCCAATTCAATTCTCATCTATACTTCACATTACTGCTCTGAGTTAAAATACGAAATGGTAAACAAAAGGGTTTGTCAGTGAGCCACTACCTCAGAACCAGTGTAACCACTGGCTCCAAGAACACCAAGGCGAACTTCCTTTTCTGCCTTCTGGGTTTTTGTATTCACGGAACATTTAACAAACACCTTCCCTACATTTCGCTTCTTATCCTTTGGATTGTTAAACCCGTCCTGCATTTACCAAACCTCAATAATAAGTTCAACTTTTATGATGAAAACACTAACACAACAAATCAAAGTATCTAATTGACTGATAATTTACAATGCAGGGCTTTAACTGGGTTTCTTTTTCCAGCATTTTCTGAGAAAACAAACAGAAATCTTAATGAGTACATACCTTCCTGAGGCACCCAGTTTGAAGAAAATTGGAGCTGAAAGTTGCAGAGCTCATCTTCTATCAGAAACTTGCACAGAGCAACAGCACATAGAAAACTTCAAATTGAATACCAGCTCTCACAAGCCTAAACTACAATACAGCATGTAACCTTCTTCTTTTTTCGCAGACAAAAAAGGTTCTTTTTTTCAGTAAGAAAACGGAGTTTCCCCGCTGCAGAAACCGACAGAGCATCCATGACGAAACATAGAATATATTACACGGTAAAAAAGACACAAGTGCGGGTGAAAAAGTAGTAAACAGTAACTCAGTGGAAAAGGACAAAACATTAGGGTTAGGATTTTTTTTTTCTTTTGGTTTGCCAGTAGGGTTTGGATTTAAGTGGACTTATTAAGGGTGAGGTGTGAAATGATAGCTTCAAAATAAAAGAAAGATTCACTATTATATTCAATATAGAGGCCCAAATTTTAAAAAAAAAACTCTACATGAAATGGACTTTAAAATACATCTAAAGCCCATTTACAGCATAACAAAGACACTTTGAACTTTCTATAAATTACAAAATTTCCGTCTATTTCTTAAAACAAACCCAACTCCATAACCTTATAGAAAACCCTAAAACACTCAATAGGGCATCAAAGAAATTTAATAATCAAAATTATATTCAATAGAGACAGCTGTCAATTTTTGGGTTTTTTTTGTTTGTTTATATAAATTAAATGGTGTTGAGTTTATCTATATCATTAATGCTAAGAATAAGTATGTAACTAAATATCTCAAAATAATATTTGAAGATAGTTGCAAGGGGGGTGTGTAGCTCAGTTGCTAACAGAGTATTTAGCTGCATCTGGGGTCCTCAGCAGGGCTAGACTTGAGATTTTTAAGGCCCAAGTGAAGTCGAAAATAGACTCTATGTATAGCTTTACACAAGAATCATTTAATTTTATTTATGTGTGTATAGAATATTAAAAAATAGAGTCTTTCATAACCGTAATAAATAGTTTAGGCCTCAAATAAAATAAAATTTATTTTTGGTATATCTGCATATATAAGAAATGGTTGAAGACAAAAAAAATATCAAACATTAAAGCTTTTTATTTGTTTAAAGATATTTGGGTTTAATCAAACATGGATCAGTTGGATCAAATATTGTATCACTATGGTTTCTTATGCAATACTTATTAATGGTAAACCTTATGGAAATATATCCCCGTCTAGGGAAGTGAGACGGGGTGATCCTTTATCTCCTTGTTTATTTATTTTATGTGTGGAACCTTTTATCAGGAATTTAAATAAATTAACCCTTAACACTTCCTCTCATATTGGGTTGCTATGTTCTAATCTTGGGATCAAAGTTTCAAATCTTTATTTTGCAGATGAGTGCTTACTTTTTGCAATTTCGGGAAAATATTGAGGAATACCTAATATAGTTAAATGGAAGGATCTCTCTAATACACAGGAATTGTTGAATAAAGTAAATTAAAAATTTTCTAGTTGGAAATCTAATTTACAATCTAGAGCAGGAAAATTAATACTAATTAATTCTCATATTTTAAGCATGCCAAAATATATAATGGGTTGTTTTCCTTGTTCTAAAAATGTTATTACAAAAACTGAAAATTCAGCAAGTAAGAAACATTAATAAAACAGAGTATAGCCGCGCGGCTATAGCATAGCCAAGCGGCTATACTATTTCCTTGCGATTAGGGGCACGTGTCAAAATTAAAATAGCCGCGCGGCTATACTATTTTTGTAAGAAACATTATTAAAACAGCGTATAGCCGTGCGGCGCTACTATTTTGGGAAAAAAGAAAAAAAACCGAGTATAGCCGCCTGAGTACTACACGTGTCAAAATATGTATAGCCGGACGGCTATACGATTTTGAAAAAAAATATAAAAAAACAGAGTATAGCCAGCGGCTATACTATTTTTGGAAAAAATCAGAAACGCTACACTCGGTTTTTTTATTACAAATTTATAAATAAACTCAATCCTAGAC